TTGAGGAATTTCGAGAAAACATTACCTTTTTTTTTTCAAGGACTGTTCGAGGATGTCAATTTTTTATGTGAACCATGTTGTCTCCAGTCTGTGTTCAATATTGTTAAGGTCTCCATGTGACCGGTGAGGATAACTCGATGCTTTTGAAAACCGGAGCCAATAAGAAATGACTGCGAGGGTAGATTTGAACAATGATTCTTACAGAGCATTTCGAAAGTTCTTTGAGTTTTATTTATAAATATTTCCTAACAGATCACTACGTCTCCGACATTGTAAATACTGCTTAATTTATCCAGATTAAAACGACACAAGGAATGTTTATCCAACGTTCTAAAGGGCATTACACCATACTTATAAACACTATCCAAATGCATCTAACGATATTTCTGGATACCCCTCCCCCAACACCATTCAATTAAATGCTGTGAAGGTGCTGTGGTTCACGCAGTCTTAGAGGTAAAAAAAAATTGTTTGGGAGGACGAGGACTTTTTCCAGACGCTTGAAAATAGATTTTCACAGTGAAGTGTCTCAATACTTCTGTCGCCCGCCCGGTGAACTACGAGTTCTAGTAGGGTGCGTGATGCGGTAAGTGATATTCGTGAGAGAAGTTTGCGTCTCAATCCCACTGTGATTCATTTCGTAGGCGATGGACAAGCTCACTGACACATCGAAACGGTTTCGCAGTGTAATTAGCGCGGACAATTTCTTAAAATCATTCAGTTCCTTCATGTGAACTTCCACTGTAAGCTTATTTCAGATACCCATTTCCCCGGCCTTAGGGATATTATTTGCATATACATTCTTTTTACATATATCCTTTCTTGTAGGTCAGTAAAAGCTAAGCACCCATCAACCCCTTGCAGCCAAAAGACTCCATATTTTTCTTTATTAAAAAGTGGCCATTGTCTGCAAAAATCAAAAACAAACCTTAACATCATAACTAGTTACCGCCCCCGCCCATCCCTCGGATCCCCTTCCCCCCATTCCTGGGAGACACTTTGATTAGGACTGTGTTCCCTTATTCACGCAGCACTAATCTATATTCTCGCCAGAGTCATCTATATTTTCTTGATGTCAGCTCATGTAGATCTTCGATCGCACAATGTCCTTCTCTTTGAAGCACTCTGAATAAATTAGTTTGGCCAGGTAAAGATGAAAGCCAACGATTAAAAAGGCGATCGTAACCCAAAACTTTGCAGGCAGACCGGATCGGTGGTGAATGTGGTGGTTCTTGAGAGACTCTGTGGAGAAAACGAAACTCAAAGTCACGTCAAACTATGCATCGCAGAATCCCGCACGACACAATAATCTTAGACCGAGAGTTTCCTCAGTTATGCTGGTAAGCAATATGGGATCTCCGATCCTAATCGCAAACTGACGAGCGATTTCCGAATGTGCCGCAAGTGTTCTCGCAACTTTCTGAAAATCACGCCGGCTTATGACTGTTTCCATGGAAATGGTCCGCTAGCAAAATCCCGACCAAGAAAGAACCAATCAAAACGGTCGGATTTACCTCAATAATAATGATTAATTTTGAATTGCTCAAATATAGTGGGAGATTTCTCCTTCAGTCCAAACCCGTGGTTGTGGTTAACAAAGGACGGCGGAAGCAAGACAATCGAATTATCCCACGTTTAGAAATGATATTCGAGGCCAAAGAAAGACTGGTAGTTTGCAACCACGAGAGACTATGTTGGCTGTGATCTCCTTAGCATCAGTAAATACGAACAATTCTTGCAGGTTATTCTTACCTTCATGAGCATCTTTTATAAACACGTGTTTCCTGAGCTCGAGCAGCTCCGATTTGTTATGCGATATATAGAGCAGCGGTGTGACAGGCCTGGTCATGCGCACTGGGAAGGTCACTTCAGATTCACTGAAATCGAAAGTGACACAGTTATTGAAGAGAAAACAATAGTTTACGAAAGCAAAGCTACATAAACACTGTACTATGAACATTGAGTGGTTTTTGTCACTATTCTTGTTACACTAGTTCATGGCGTATATACCGTAAGTACTGTACTATACCAAGAGATTATGATTCATATTCTCTCGACTATACACAATAAGCGGTTTTTGTTCCAGTTTGGAGCAAATTCACATTCGCAAGGGTAGTGAGTCCATTTCATTTACCTAATTATTACGTGGTTGAGGCATAATCCTGTTTCTCGGGATCATAACAGAAGCGTAGCAACACTCTTAAGCTTGTAATTCTCTCCACTGTTAGCAGCTGTTATTGTTTTAGGGCTAGGGGCATTGTTTCTGTTGTTTGTTCTATTGTTCTCTCAAAGGGTAACAAGCCATTCATGTCAGACCTTACGAGAGCTGCTACATCACCCGATCATAAACGCTCTCTCTGTTTCGTTTAGTTGAAGGATTATAGGTTAACTTGTCTAGATTAATAAATAGTTATTATATGGCTTGTGTTTGTAACCGATGTAACGTGCGCTCTGATTGGCTAATTCTAGGGCATTATTCTCCCGTTATGCCCACGGGCCGATAAAGTCATATAATAAACAACTTAGTAACCTCGAACGCTTGGTCTTTGGGGAAAGTCAATAAAGGATGTATGCATGTATCAACTTAAAAAATCAAAGGGGGAAAAAAATTAGTCGTCAGAAAGTGCTTTCAAGTAAATTATGGTCTCAACTGAGCGTCATAGAAGCAAAACCAAAATCATCAAATTGGCCAATCACAAAGGACATGGACAATCCAGTGAACCAATCAGTGGCGCGTAGCCCGGGAAAACGTGTTCGAGCATGTCACGGTTGGTTTGGGTTTAACTTCTTATTGGTTGAGAAAGTGGCGCGAGTTTTTTTTAACCAATCACTAAGCGTCGAAAAACAAAACCAACGGAAACGCGAATTTTTTCCACATTCAGGAGTAGATTGCTCTAATGGCAGAACAAAACATATCAACTAGCAGCTTTGCTATTTATTGACTGACTGCTGTTCTCCACCTTTCCACGCAGACATTTTTGCGGCTTGTCACGAAATCTTTCTTAGTCACCAAATTTTCTATCCATTAAGATTGCGTGACAAGACAATCTACCCACCCGACTTCTACAGGGTCGTACTGACAGCCTGCCTCGCACGCATACAGAGGAGTCTTCCCTCCCTTGACCGGTTTAACTAGCAGTTTCTCTGCATGCCCGGTTTCTTCATTCACCAGCACCGTGAGATAAATATCCATATCTTCATACAGGTGAATATGGCGGAAGACGATACTGGTGTGAAGCGAGGCGGGGTTAGCGGCGAATTCAAAGTGTCCAGCCGAGAACTGCAGGCCTCCAAAGCTAAGCGTGATTGCTTGGACAATGCCGATGACACCTTCAAGAAAAAAAAAAAAGAAAAGAAAACGAAGAAAATATAAATAAAAATAAAATATATCTATCAACTGATCTCATCATGGTGTATGACAGATTTAGAAGAACAATTAAACCAAGGCACATTCACAAGACCTTCCAGACCCTCTATTAAACAAGCAAACTCCGGTTTCAGTAACAAGACGTGACTGAGAGTGTTGCCCCCTCCCTCCTTCCTACTTGAAAAAGAGAAAAATGAAGAGAAAGCGAGGTTAAGTGTGTGATGGCAAGGGATGATGCGGGACGGGATGGTATGAGACGACGGGAACAGGACGGGTCGGGATGGGATGAGATGAAGGGAACTGGACGGGTCGGAATGGGATGTTATAAATTCACCTCGGCGGAGACCACAACTCTAGCAGACAGCAAGCCTCAAAAACTACACTTGCGGAGCTCTCGCTTTGTATTCCGTCGACCATTGCTATCAGTCACGTCTCCTTTTCACTCCAGGAGAAAAAGTCCGGGGAGAAAATGAAAACGAGATTGACTACAGACAAACTATGCATCAATTTGACCGTACATAAGACAGAGCTGAGGGAAACACAGCGA